AAACCAAACCGAATTCATTGATAAAAATTGATAACCAAACCAATTCGCTTATAACAATTTCGGTTCAGTTTCGATTTGCAAAATTAAAACCAAATTTTTTTGGTTAATTCAAAATCGATTTCAATTTTGAACCGAAACCGGTTTTGCCCACCCCTAGTAGTATCACCGATGACTTGGGTCTTCATCGCTGATATTTTTTTGAATGACAACACAGAAATTGTCCAATTCCTTCGTTGGAGGTTCCTTAATTATGACGTTTCGTTTGAATTTGACATTTGACATTGACGACAACTAACTGATAGGGTTGTCAATTCCTTATTGTACGGTCGGTTAGACGGGCATAAACCAGTTTTTCACTTTCCAAAAAGGTACTGGTATAAATTTGGTTAAATGTTAATTTTGGTCCTTTAATTTTATAAAGTTACATTTTTTAGTCTTTTAATAATTTTTTACATTTTTTTGATCCCTCAACTTTAAGAAATGCACAACGTTAATCCTTTCGTTAGTTTAGACTGTTAACTTCATTTATGTGGTATTTTTTATACTTTTTTATGACATGGAGAGCACAACTTAAAAAGATACTGATATGGACAAAATATTATGCCATGTCATATTCAAAGGTGCGAAAGTCTCCCAAATGGGTCTCACATTACTTGAAAAAAACTCTAGAATGCTCTCTTATCTCCACTTGATCTGCAAAATCGATCTTAACCCATATCTTCTTCTTCTCTTAATGCTCTCTCATCTCCACTCCATCAAATTAATTCCTCAATAAACAATATCAATCAAACCCTAAATAAATTCCAACAAAAATACAATCAAATTGTAAATCAAATCTTAAATTTATCAAGAATTGAGAATGGGAATTGAAAGAAGAATGAAAAAACATGGCGAGCTTGACAAATCCAGCTTTAAACAAGAATGGAAATCAACAGCACCTAACTCTAAACCCAGTAGTTGGGTTCGATGAAACCCAGTAGATCTGGGTTCCAACGAACCGAACAAAGCTGAGTTTCAACGAACAGCCAGGTCTGTTAGGTTTCGTTGATACCTAACACGGTTGTGTTGGTTTGTCGATACCCAGCAGAGCTGGGTTTCAGTGAAACTTAGTCGATCTAGGTTCCATCAAACCCAGTTGCTAGGTTCTATTTGGGTTCTATTTGGGTTCGGTGGGTAGGAAAGAAAGAAAGAGAAAGAGAAAGAAAGAAAGAGAAAGAGAAAGAAAGAAGGGGAAGAAGATGGATTGAGAGGGTAAGGGTAATAAGGTAATTTTGTTTGTTATTATTTTTTTAATTAAAATACAAATATTAATTTGATGTGGCATTTTTATTTATTTATGTAATATATGATATTGCCACATCATCGAAAGAATTAAAAAAAAATGCCACATGGAATTATTTAATAGTTATGTCATGCTTAACTGACGGAAGGACCAACGTTGTGCATTCTTTAAAGTTGAGAGATAAAAAAAATGTAAAAAATTGTTTAAGGATAAAAAAAATGCAACTTTATAAAGTTGAAGGATCAAATTTAACATTTAAATATTTAACGTATAAATTTTGATCTAAGCCGAATCTCGGGAGTACTGCTGTAGTGGTCATTTTGGTATTCTAGTAAGTATTTCGCATTGTGGGTGGCACATTTGAATTTGATCGGTGTGTTCATAAGCTCCCCTCAGTCCTGCTTTCCCCTGATTTTCTTCATTTTCATCAAATTCTGTCCAAACAACAACTAAATTAGAAATTTTTAACAGCCCCTTGATCCAATTTTTACTCTTGCTTTCAATACCTAGAATCTTTGTTTTCTATATGTAGAAACTATAAATTCTATTTTCCCAAAAATTTGAGACAACGGACTCCTACCTCTTGGTGCCCACGACATTGATCGTGATCCCTTGGCATCACCGTCGCCACCTCTTGCAATCACCATTACCTTCTCAATCAGAACCCAACGGGACTCCAATAAACCCATTAGAGAATAGAGGTAGCAAGATGGAGGAGAAGAAAAAGGGGAGTGATACATGCCTTTTTAGGATAAGGGATAGAAGAAAGAAAGATTTGCAAAATTGAGGAAGAATCGAAGAAAGGAGGAGAAAGAGAGTTGATAGTTGTAGTAAGGAAAAGAAAAACAACAGAAAATTTTTAATGATTTAAATAATTTAATGGTAATTTTTTTTAATAAAAAAAAAAGGTTTTGAGAGTAAATTGTATAACATGTAGATAGGATGTGTTAAGAGATGAGAGAAAATAATTTTTCATTATACAACTTAAAAAAAAAAAAGTGAGGAATTAGTCAATTTCTCTAATTTTATCATATGATTTTAATTTCTTAAAATACCCTTATTCTAAGCTTCGATGTTTCTTGATATTTTTCAATATCCAATAAATACTATTTCAGTAACAAAATTAGTACATATGTCACTACAAAATTAGCACTGCCAGGCCACTTCTCACGTCGATGTATATATTTGCTAACATTTGTAACATGCATATTTTTATATTATTTCTAATTCTTTTACCACCAGCAAGAAAGAAATCGGCGTTGACTTTCGACAGCCAAAAAACTTCTGCAGGATTACTACTTTATTGACATGCATGATGTCGGTATGGGAATTTCCAGAAAAAAAGAAAAAAAAATACTACTAGTTACTGGCACCTGACCTCACGACTCAATTCAATCGTGATAGGTCGACTTATAAGGTGCATCCCCTAATCCGAGGGATGGACTTTGATTCCCCCCTCTCTCAAAAATTGTGTTCAAGAAAAAAAAAAAATACTGCTAGTTACTGACAAATAAAATGTTGGTACAAGAATTTTCTAAAAAAAGGAAATACAATTTCTTGAATTAATATTAAAATGAATATTTTTTTTAATTCAATTCAATTTATTTACTGTCAAATTTTATTTAATTTATAACTCTCAATATCGTAAAAGGCAAATATAATATCAAAATTTTATAATAAAAAAAATAGAACATTATTAAATCTATTTCCTCAAACTAATCATTAAAACATAATTTTAAAAAATAAGAATAATAAGAAAAATATAAAATATAATTGAATAGCATAATAAAAAAAATTAAAAATTACCTCAATTAAAAATTTGATATTTAAAGAGCACCATATCCTGCAAAAAATTGATAAAAAAATAAATTAATTTAATATTTAGATATAAATTCAACCAAATAATAAAAATTATAACTTTAAAGTTTGCGCCTTTACATCGAAACTAATCCAGGACCGGGTACCCATGAAGCTGAACTTACACAAATGAGGCCTTCTTAAGGAAACAGAAAGTGCTAAGTGTGTTTTTGGGTGTGCTGAACTTCAAGACTCAACTCACTTGTTCTTACACTGCAAGGTTGCTTCAAAATTGTGGAATGAATGTCTTAAATGGTGGGGCTTGATTGGTGTCTTTGCAGATGGTTGTTGGAGTGCCTTCTAGCAACACAGAGATATGCTTTCTCCTGCAGGCATTAAATGTGGATTGGAAACTATATGGTTTGTAGTGACTTTGACACTCTGGCTTGCCAGGAATGTTGTACTGTTTTGAAACACAACTTTGGATGAGGGGAGGCTCTTGGACTTGGTTCAAGCTGTTCCTATCAATAGCTTCGAGGTGCGGAGAATGAGGGAATTACATTTACTGACTGGCTACGGAACCAATCCTAAGACGCCTGCAGTAATCAAAAGAGGGAAGCATGCCACCTTGCATTAACTAGATGGGATAAGTTCTAAAACACTTTTAAGCTTGTGCTATCTATTTTGGGGATGTGCTGTCTTTTTGCACAATAGTATACTGTATAATAGGCAGAAGTACTCTTTGTATTTCAATAATAATAATATTAAAATTGATTGTAGTTAAAAATATATATATATAAAAAAGAAAAATGATTACCACATTTTTGGTTCAATACATTGGTCAATATTTATTGGTTCAATTATTAAATTTTATAGTTAAAATTTTTCTTGTTTTAAATTTAAATTTGAAAATAAAACTTTTTAATAAATATGCTATATAGTGTGTTAAAATGTTATATAGTGTGTTGAATCAAAATATATCAATCATTATCCAAAAAAAGTCTCTTTACCTTACTATAATGCAAATCCCTTGCACAATGCTTCCTCCCAAAGGAATTTGAAGAAAATTAAGATTGTTGAATTGTTTAGGTTTGCTCGCAAACTAATTTAAAATCGAATTTAACATATTCGGTGTTTATGGTGGAATATAATTCCACACAAATTTTTTAAAAGGTTATAAGCTTTTAAAAATGGTCTCAATGCACTTATGATAAATTTACAAGTAGCTTTTTCACTTGTATAAGATGTAAAGTTAAACTTCCACCAAATGAAGGGAAATTCTCATCAAAACACTAAATAGGAATTTTCTCAAAAGAAAAAGTTAACCACGTTTTACACATGTTTCTAGTAGTTATTTATCATCAAATGACAATAACAAATCATTATTATAATTAAAGAGTTGTATTAATTAATATATTTTATCTATTATTTGCTACTCTTTTTTTACTATCTACTAACTGTCGTCTGCTATATGTTAGCTACCCCTATGATTTTCTGCTAACCTTTATTTATTATATATTAGATTTTAACTATTGTACCAAACATGCTTTAAAAATCTCTTAATTTAGATTTATTATTTTATTTTATTGAGGCGAGAAATTGGGGAATTGAATATTGGGGGCGTGCGAAGGGGACCAAGGGAATTGATTATTGAATTGACTTTACTAGGTGAACATCTTAGATCCTACTTTTGAAATTTCCTTGACTAGCACAGAATATGGATCACCATATTTACGATGAGCAAATATATAATGAGTTAGATATATAGAAATTACTTACATATAAATATAAATTAATGTTTTAGGAACCGACCTATTACTTGACTTGTTTTAGGCCCTAAGTTTGGTTCAATTGGTTAAACTGATTTAATCAACTGGTTCAATCAGTTATAAAAAAATGACATTTTTAAAATTTTAAAAAGTAATAAGTAAGATTTAATTTTAAAACATATAGTAATTATATAAATATTAAATCACTAAACTCAATAACTTTTATTGCTAATATTTCAATTTTTTAAATTTATTCATAATTAAAAATCGAATGCAATAATTAGTAATTTTATAAAAGTTAAATAAAAATTTTAATTTGAATTTTTTAACATTAAACCATTTCTATAAAAATTTAAAAAAAAAGGGAAAAAACAATATCATTAAATTAAATTTCATTTAATGTTTAAACACTTAAAACTTTGATTTTTGTCAAATCATTATCATTATTATTTATGATTTTATTAAATAAAAAATTTAAAATCCTAGAAATAAAAGCTTAATCCAATTTAAAAATATGATTTATAATTTGAGTTTAAAGGAAATTGCTTTAATTTTGTTATTTTATTTTTAAAATTAACTAATTTATATATTTTATTTTATGAAAATATTTTTCCAACATTTTCTTTTGTATTAATTGTGCTTTTTAATAATTAATTTTTATAAAAAAAAATAAAAAATAAATTTTAATTTCTTAAATGTACAATTAAAATCAACCACATGATATTGATTTAGAAAATAATTAATTGTTGAAAATTACATAAATGCACTTTTAACTTTGACCAAATTAAAAAAATAGTTTAATTTATTTAATAGATGAAATTTTGTTCAAATGCTATTTTGTTCATAAATAATATTCATGATGTTGGTGTCTCAATGGTAGAAAACCTAAAATGTGCATTGAGGGAGTGGGGTCCGAATCCCCTTGTGCATAAAGATGTTCAAAACTTTGTGAATAAAACGGTTTGAATTTGATTAATTTTCTTGAGTTTTGACCAAATTTAACTTATTTTGACTGAGTCTCATTACACATTTTGTTTATATCATGAATTGAATTGTTTTTATAACCAATTTTGGTTCAACTAGTTAGACCTACCAATCTGGTCCAGATTTTAAAACAATG